CCTTATGTGGGACATATGCACATGCAGTGGTTTAGCGATTCGATTCAAAATGGCCGACTGGCAGCCATCTTGTTTTTTGAAAATGTGGTATTTTGGACATGCTTTGTCAGTTGTCATTCAAACTCCATGACGATTTATTTCGCAATTGGATCAAAGATGGTCGACTGGCAGGCATTTTGTTTTCATTCAAATTTGGCATGTACTTTATACATGTTAGGATGCATGTCCATGACAATTTGTTTCAAAATCTGGTCAAGGATGGCCGATTGACAGCCATCTGACTTTTTGGCCTTACTACTATATTTCCACAATTTATGTACTATTTTCATTCGTATTTGGCACATACATGTACATCATACATATCAGTGTGTTTCATAATCAGATCAAAGATGGCTGAATAACGGCTGTTTTTATTTTGGCCATATTACTATGACACGAAACACGTGTTTTGATGTAAATAAACAATCTGTTGTATACGCCACTTGGAACTCAAGTTTCAAGGACACGCTCGCGACAACCCCTCCTCTTTAATATGACGAGCACAAAGAGAACTTAACGGGGACTGTGTCATTTTCAATGACTTTTTATTTCTGGTTTATTTGTCACATTATAAGCAATAAATTATTTTTGTTATACTTCTAATGTTGCATATCGTTCATTTGTTTCCAATGCATGTTTTCATTTGCCATTCTATTCCCTGCTGAAGCTCGATCTGTGTGTTGTCAATTTTCGCGAAGTTTCATTCATTGCAGGGGATGTCCAGGCATACGCCCACCCCTATTTTTTTGGCGATTTCCCATGTTCAGGATCCTTACCAGACTTGCAACCATCTTGAGTTTTGGCCATATTACTTTATCTTAGGCATGAGTAACATTTTCCCTTGTTTTTAAGATTTAACACCCTGGACATATAACGGGGATCCCCTCAACTTGTTAAATGTTAAAAAAAAACAGGGAGGGGCTTATGATCGGGGAGGGATGGTAGTATCCCAGAAGAACACAATGGATTGCTCATGTATCATCCCTCTTTTGCAAACCAAACAGAAGTCTCATTTGATCCTGTCATCTTTTCAAGTTAAATCTCTGTTTTGTTACCGGGGTAGTCGCCAATCCAATTAAATTTTGCTGATGATATCATCTGAGTAAAGACACAATTATTATATTAATAAGGTCAACATCAAACACACCAGAGATTTGTTGACAATATAAGTGTTGTTCCATCAAGGAAATACTGCAGGACATTAAAATATAAATCTAGAAGACTAAAATAAATAGGAAGGAAATAGTGAAAAACAAATTCTCTAAAAAAAATGAAGTGGTGGGTAATTAAGTTAAGACATATAACAGCTGGAAAAAGTGGCACTTGCATATTTGCTAGGTTTAGTTCTTGCTTATTTTGCTGGTACATCCAGTGATATGCAAACCATGAAATGTATTGTTTCCTACTTGCAGTGAATATAAATTTTCATATTTCATGTAATTATTTTGCTCGAAATTTGAATATCAACAGAAAAGTCTGCTTGTTTGGATTGAAAATGCCAGTCAAAACAAAAACCGCTTAGTATGTTTTAAAAAATATTTCAATGTTGGAAATTTTCATGATCAGTGTATTTTGGCACCCGCCGTAAACCCTACTGTAATGGCCATTTTGAATTGAAATGCGTCTTATTTGGTGATTGCGCGAGTAAAAGTTGCAGGATTTGTAAATATATACACTACTATGGTGTAACATCTTAAAAGATTTAACCATATTAGGAAATTGCAGTCATGAGTCAGCTGGGGAAATTCTGACACACAAAAAAAGAATCTTCATCTGATTTTATACCTACTATGGTATAAATGCATTTGCATTTCGTAACACGCAATATTGTGCTTGAAACTTGGGCAACAAAGACAATGTATAGTCGAAAAGAATACAGGGACCCCTGAAACATTTTTGAAAAAAACATCCTTTCCGACATTTAAGCTCAAATATGTCTGTGGACATTGCATGTATTCAGTTTAACCATGGACTCATGATACAAAGTATGCTTTTAGTTATAATACACATGGTAAATGTTGAAATAAAGTAGAAATAATCCCTACCTTTCTTGGAGTACCTATCCACTAGTTTCTCTGATCTTTCCTGTTATGTATGTATATATACCTTCCCTTAATTAGACGCATGTTATGACTTGATGTTTTACTTTCCTTCCTGATTAATTTCAATATAAGAATATCCTTAACAATCCTTCATATTAAAGAGCAGTATTGTGGTCCCATTGTGTCCAATTCAATAGTCATCTAAGATGGGTTAAACAATACTTGACTTGAGTACTTGACAGGAAGTGAAACTTGTTCGTACATGGACATTTTTTTTTTGTAAATCTTTTATTTCTGATGCTGTGGTAAATCAAATGACTTTCTAATTATGTTTTGTACATTGAATATACACACACAGTGCTTTAGAGAGGTTAAAACTGCAATGTCAAGCGGAAAAAAATGTCACTTTGATATTTGAAAAAAAAAGGGGTTTAAATTTTTAAAATTGATTCGTTCAGGATAACATTTTATAGTGTGTTAATAGAATTGTTGGTTTTCTTGAATGCCTTTAATAAATATTGTATAAGAACACATTGACATCTGTTTAGTGGCAATACCCAAAACATGTTTTTGAGGACAGCGTGTGATGCAGTGGTGTGAAAACAAAAGTGTAAGATATTGATTTCTCATTTTCTTTTCAGGCACGTTTGGGTTCCTTGTCAATTGAAGACATGGATGGTGGTACTTTCACTATTAGTAATGGTGGTGTGTTTGGCTCCATGTTTGGTACCCCTATTATAAATCCCCCTCAGAGTGCCATCTTAGGTATGCATGCCATCTTCAATAGACCCATGGCTGTTAATGGCAAGGTAAGATAACCTACAGCTGTACCATCTTGCTTATTCTCATTTAAATTATCCCTAGGTCTTTGTAGAGTGGGTCTTTTGTTCTTGCATTGTCTACCAGTATCAAAGGATAGACTTGAAGTGAACAAGTGTGTATTTTTTGTTTTCATATCTTATCAAAATGTTTTCATTCTCTCTTTTTTCTTTATGCTATCTAATTCTTAGAATTCGTGGCTTTGTATGCTTTACCAAATATTTGACTTCCCAATGTTAGTCTGTGTACAATTATACACTTTAAAGACAGGTCTATGGTACAATGGGACCAGAATACCAAACAATTTTTCTATTTTGTCTAAGAGGAAAGTTTACTTAATTTCATTTGCTTGAAATTGAAGATTTTATTTTATTTATTTCAGGTTGAGATTCGTCCCATGATGTATGTTGCATTGACGTATGACCATAGATTGATTGATGGAAGAGAGGCTGTAACTTTCCTGAAAAAGATCAAAACTTGTGTTGAAGACCCTCGCTCACTACTCTTAGATCTGTAGTCTCACTTAACTATAATATTAATATCTACAACCCAAGAGAAAATAGTACCTGCCATTCAGAATTACTGTTTTTAAATATGCTGCTAATCAATTTGTATGAAAAACTATGGCGAGAATATTCTAATTTAAACGATGCCAAATTTGCAAGTTTTACTGTGTTTTATTTACGTTGATGTGCATTTATTCTTGCCCAGACCCTTATGATGTAGCTGGTACTGTAACATGTTCACAATGACTGACACTAATCCCCACATTGCCCTGACCAATTCTATTGCTTTTTTAACACTCTATAATTGTAAAAAAAATATCTTGTAAAGTGACTGATTAGTATGTATTTCTTGCTTCCAGGATTGTGTGAATTATCTTTAGATTTTTTCAGAATTAAAAGTGAATAAAAAAAAAATTGTGAATAAGTACCATCTGATTACTTGAAAATGTTTTTCATATGCATGTAATTTGTCTTTATAAACCAATACAACATTCCCCTTGCTTTTTTACGCTTGGATAATTCACCATCAGAGGTCACCTAACTGTACCCATGTGAAACGTTAGCAACATACCGGTAGTTGGTAATATATGGTACATGTTAAATAGAGGGCGCACTTCATGCAGATATTATCAATAAAACATAGGACTTTGGTTGGTTCAATGCTTTTTCTAAGGCATTGCCATCGGGGTATTCAATGTTTGTGACAGCTGTAGTGGAACCATTTTTATAATGGATTGTCGATAAGTGGAGTTTCACTTCATTTCAAATACTGTTTAGAAAACTAGGGCTTCTATCTTCTTAATGCTTTATTTAAGTTCAGATCTTTTCTCTGTTTAGAACATCACAACATTTATCATTTTAAATGGTGATACATGTCTATGGGTTCTACTTATTAGTTCTTCACTAAAACAGTAAATCTGCAACTATTCATAGTAATTGACCCCCAAGATTATTCTTTGGGTCTTTCATGCTTTTGACCTTCAATTGTTCAATTCCTTTTGAACTTGATAAGTGATTATTTAGACCAGTGTATGTACCTTACTGTACTACGTTAGGTATGAAGTACATTTATCAATATTTCTATGAATCTTGTTGATTTGTATGTGGACTTTATCCTTAAAAATCAACATTCTCTTGTAACTATATATATAGTATGGGGCTTAGTTATTCGCTGTTTTACTTTCACTGGCTGCTTAAAACCCTTTAAATATTCAAATTTAACAATAATTCATTATATTGTTTCCTCTACAAACCGGTGAATATCTGAATGATCAAATCTGCTAAAATTAAACCCCATGAATATTTCTCTTCTTCCATTACTGTGTACGTCATAAGGGTGAAATCAACACTTCTGGTTGAGGGCGCTCTTGTCGATGCTGTGGGTAAACTGAATGTTGATGAGGATGCTATATTGTGTCATCCATCCCAACCTGCCAAAAATTCGATATTGTTTTTGACTTTAATGACATAAATTATATCGACGGTTCAGGCATTTTCACAGCCAACAGCTTGAAGCCAGGACTACTTCTATAGGGGGTTTGGGTGCGCAGCATGGACCTCTTAAACATGAACTGTTAAACTATATCACATTTTACCGAAAATAAGGGGATTCTGCTACCATAATATAGTTGTGTACTTCCAAGACTAGATAAAAATCGAGACGAGAATGTTGTGTTACCTTGTGACGTAATATATAGTTTATGGATACGTCATCTCTCCGTCAGTGCATGTGTGATCCAGAGTAACCCTGGACATCCTGCTATGGTGACCAACGGGGAAATGGGGTTATTTATTATTAAAATACTCGAGGAGTGAAGATGGACACAAATTCTCACTAATCATGATAACTTAAAAAATCACTTTTGAAGGCAGCCATGCCGATACATGGCTATATGGCGCTATTCATACCACCGACGTTCTCCATCACAGTGTGCCTATTACTATTATTATATTTATAGCTCCATGTCATTTAGTGTTGAAAAGTATGGTAAAAGTATTAAATAAACTGTAATCTGGTTTTGCAAGAATGGCATATTTGTACGGTAATCTCTAATCATGCATGCACGAAGTAGGAGTATCCTGAGCACCCACAAACGGAATATCTACGAGGTGGGACGATTGTTGCCAGTATAACTATAGAAGGAATGTAACAAGTTACCTACTGTTTCTGTTTTTAAGATTTTAGATACAATTATGGGTCGGATTTTTTGGGATACTAATCGGCAATGGTTTGTCAAGATAATGAATCTCTTCCGTAATTATTTGAGTCTATATTGTTTGCCTACTCTATCTAGGTACGCCGTGATTTATATTCGTTTATAGACGCCACCATATGGTCTAACGTGAGATGAATTATCTAATGTTTTTATGCAACACGTGTTTGTGAACTCAGGTAAATACCATACTTTATGCATGGTGTAATTTGCATACTTATGCATGGTGTAATTTGCATACTTTATGCATGGTGTAATTTGCATTCTTTATGCGTGGTGTAATTTGCATACTTATGCATGGTGTAATTTGCATACTTTATGCATGGTGTAATTTGCGCACTTTATGCATGGCATAATTTGCATACTTTATGCATGGTGTAATTTGCGCACTTTATGCATGGCATAATTTTCATACTTTATGCATGGTGTAATTTGCATACTTTATGCATGGTGTAATTTGCATACTTTATGCATCGTGTAATTTGCATACTTTATGCATTGTGTAATTTGCATACTTTATGCATGGCGTAAATTGCATACTTATGCATGGTGTAATTTGCATACTTTATGCATGGTGTAATTTGCATACTTTATGCATGGCGTAATTTGCATACTTATGCATGGTGTAATTTGCATACTTTATGCATTGTGTAATTAGCATAATTTATGCATTGTGTAATTTGCATACTTTATGCATGGCGTAATTTGCATATTTTATGCATGGTGTAATTTGCATACTTTATGCATGGTGTAATTTGCATAATTTATGCATGGTGTAATTTGCATACTTTATGCATGGCGTAATTTGCATACTTTATGCATGGTGTAATTTGCATTCTTTATGCGTGGCTTAATTTGCATACTTTATGCATGGTGTAATTTGCATACTTTATGCATGGTGTAATTTGCATACTTATGCATGGAATAATTTGAATACTTTATGCATTGTGTAATTTGCATACTTTATGCATGGTGTAATTTACATACTTTATGCATGGTGTAATTTGCATACTTTATGCATGGCGTAATTTGCATTCTTTATGCATGGCGTAATTTGCATACTTATGCATGGTGTAATTTGCATACTTTATGCATCGTGTAATTTGCATACTTTATGCATGGTGTAATTTGCATTCTTTATGCATGGCGTAATTTGCATACTTATGCATGGTGTAATTTGCATTCTTTATGCATGGCGTAATTTGCATACTTATGCATGGTGTAATTTGCATACTTTATGCATGGCGTAATTTTCATACTTTATGCATGGCGTAATTTGCATACTTTATGCATGGTGTAATTTGCATACTTTATGCATGGTGTAATTTGCATACTTTATGCATGGTGTAATTTGCATAATTTATGCATGGCGTAATTTGCATACTTATGCATGGCGCAATTTGCATACTTATGCATGGTGTAATTTGCATACTTTATGCATGGTGTAATTTGCATACTTTATGCATGGTGTAATTTGCATACTTTATGCATTGTGTAATCTGCATACTATATGCATGGCGTAATTTGCATACTTATGCATGGTGTAATTTGCATACTTTATGCATTGTGTAATTTGCATACTTTATGCATGGTGTAATTTGCATACTTTATGCATGGTGTAATTTGCATTCTTTATGCATGGCGTAATTTGCATACTTATGCATGGTGTAATTTGCATACTTTATGCATCGTGTAATTTGCATACTTTATGCATGGTGTAATTTGCATTTTTTATGCATGGCGCAATTTGCATACTTATGCATGGTGTAATTTGCATACTTTATGCATGGCGTAATTTGCATATTTTATGCATGGCGTAATTTGCATACTTTATGCATTGTGTAATTTGCATACTTTATGCATTGTGTAATTAGCATAATGTATGCATTGTGTACTTTGCATACTTTACGCATTGTGTAATTTGCATACTTATGCATGGTGTAATTTGCATACTTTATGCATTGTGTAATTTGCATACTATATGCATGGCGTAATTTGCATACTTATGCATGGTGTAATTTGCATACTTTATGCATTGTGTAATTTGCATACTTTATGCATTGTGTAATTTGCATACTTTATGCATTGTGTAATTAGCATAATTTATGCTATGTGTAATTTGCATACTTTATGCATTGTGTAATTTGCATACTTATGCATGGTGTAATTTGCATACTTTATGCATGGCGTAATTTGCATACTTATGCATGGTGTAATTTGCATACTTTATGCATGGTGTAATTTGCATACTTTATGCATTGTGTAATTTGCATACTTTATGCATGGTGTAATTTGCATATTGTATGCATGGTGTAATTTGTGTATTCAAACGCATAGAAAATATAGCGTGTAATTCTAAAGATTGTTGAACAGAATTTGTGTATTAGGAGAGGGTCAAAATAAAACCTATTGTTTGAAAACGCTGAGAGACACGTTTACATCACCCACGACTTGTTGCAACCACACTTCTCCAAGCCTATAATTTTGTAAAAATAATTTTTCGTTTTTTGCCCAAAAATTGTATTGTTTTGAATCTACATTAGCATATTGAAATTCCTAGCACTTGTATCACTTAACTTAGCAATAAATCTTCGTTTATCTATGTTCGAAAGTTTTAACCAATATTTCATAACACTACAGTATAAACACTGAGACTTTGCCGAGCTCAATGCAACAATTGACGTTTTGTTTTGAAACGCATTATTTTATTTTAGACAACCTCAATGTCATTTGATGAATGGAAACCCCAAATTTCCGAGTCATTAAGGGTTAATTTTGAAGTCCAAAATTATGAGGGACGTTGAGAATGGAACAGTGCCAAATGTACGTAGATCAGAATCAGAAAGTGCTTTGTTTCACTGTGCACTCTATGTTTTCATGGAACCACGAACCCGACCAAGAAAATACAACACCAATGTAACTTTAAGATGAGGTTACAGACATTGCTTCATTATCATAGTTCCACCTCTCATAATATCCCACTTCATCTGAAAACAAAGATTAATTTTTACTTACAACAATATTGAAATAAATTATTCAATAAACGTTATAAGAAAATTCTTGATTGGTTAATACGGTCGTCAGCATATAGTAGACATAATATTTTTAAAATAGATTTTAATTCAAGAAAACCGTGACTGTGTGAAAGAGCTTCCCCGATATCGTTTACAAAAATGTTTATTAATAAGGGGGAATTTTGCTGTAAACCAGC